TAAATACATAAAATATATGACTAATTTAGGCATTATCATATACTTTAGTACTTGAATTATTTACTATTAGTACATCCATGTTCGTCTTGAGTTTGACGTTCGGTCTTACCACTCCAATACTATTTACTGGTGGTATTAGTCTAAGTCTTGGTAATTCACAAAATATAAATAAAAGACTACGTGTTTAAAATCAATCAAATTTTTTACTAGTTCTAACCACATCATTGTCGTTCTACAATAGGGTTTTTTATAAAAATCAAGTGTAATGATCGAAGATGTGTTAAGAAACACTTTTGATACACCACAATAGCTCCATATACACATTAACACAAGTAAAAAAGACATAAAACCCCTACATGAAAGGCACATGGGGCACACTAACGAAGAAAACTAACTAACAAAGATAATAGGAAATTATGTAATTTTAAAACTAAATAAGGATGACCCGAGTGTAAAACAAAACATAAGAACAAAACACACAAATTGGAACAGACCACATGGATGATTTGTATAATTTAGTCAAGAAAAAACATAATATAAAATGTAAAATTGTCTTTTTACATGGATCATGGACCAAAAATATAAGTTTGGGAAAACATAGGGATATAACCTATCAACTTTTTAAAAGTTTGACTAAAGCTGCAAATTAATTCGTGTAAACCACATGGACTATTTCTGTTATTTACTAAAATATTAACAATATTAACTTTTAGACTAAATTCTACCATTGGTCCCTATAGTTTGGTGAAAAAGTTAATACAACATGTTTTTTATGGGTTTTAGTATCAGATCCATATAAAATAACTATATTACCCTGTATGTTTTCTTTTATCTTTATTTTATTTAACTAAATTATAAAACTAATGATTTTAATATACTGGACCTACCTCATCCATCAACACCAACCCACCACACTAATTCTTCTTCTTCATTCTTTCTCCAACCCTCTTTAAACCGTGTGACTCACAACTTCTCTTCATCAACCTCGCTTCCTTTAATTGCCCCACCTACCCCACTACATTACATTACTTGTCGTTTTTTGAGTGTGAAACCAAGAACTTACAACCATGAATCCCCTTTGTGTCCATCCTTTAAACCGATGTTGCAACTAGTACAATGTATATAACACCACCATATGTATCACTTGGGATTAAGGATTGTATTAATTGGATAAATATTAGACTTATGATGCCCATTGAACAAACATATTGCTTTATTTCTTTAAGTGAGTGATGGTAAGGAAAAATTTTGAATGAGTACTCTTTAATGTTTCCATAGGTGGTGTTCTTCCTTGAGGTGTTCATTAATCCAAACATATTTTCATGGGATAGCTTCAAGCCAAAAGTATGCTCAATTTAAAGATTATCTGATGGATTGGAGAAAAGATTTAAAAGGAAGTGATGGTTTACTAATGGAGTTCATAGGAATTCATTTCAAATAACACAAGCACATGAATTTTTGGGCCATAAACAGGGAATGATGAACTATGAAGAATCTTTATTAATGAGAATAAACAAAAGTTAGTAAATAGGAAAAATTGAAGGTTTAAGGGGCAAGATCATGGAAATTCGAAGTGGATTGTAGTCTTGAATATTGTAGATCATCTAAGGTCTATTTGATATGATAAAAATGAATGACAAGGGTAAATAAAGAAAGTTGTAGAATGAACAAGATACTGAATTGATCACTACCATTCCATTGGTATACTAGTTATTATATTGGAATAGAATAAATCATTAAGTAATGTTGTTCGACATTCAAGAATAGATGTATGAATGGAATGGACTTCATGATAATCGACAAAAATACCCTTACACATAACACATATTAATTACAATTTTCACAAAAACTAAGCATTCAAAATAATATTTTATCTACTCTAATAAATCAAGATCAATTTTGTCACATGTCAATTTCTTATGAGTTTTGACACTTGTCATTTTGTGATATTTCTGAAATAAATAATATCTACATGTTAATTTCTGGTTTCTCAAATTTTAAAATTAAAAAGCTACATATATGTAATGTATTGAATGCAATTAACGTGACAACAAATTGCAATGAATACGTTTCCACCTTTCTTATGTTAAATCCTAATCTTAAGGACAAAATCACTGATAGTTTCCAATCTTCCAAGTAATAACACAC